GTACTTTGCACAGTACCACACAGCAAACAACACTACTGTCTCTAGAGAGATTAACTTTGTAAGCAAGTTATGCAGGTAATTCAAAGCCAGTTAATCTCACATAAAAAATGTTAATTGCATTGGCAAAGACATTGCCTCTGATCACTCCATGGCTATATAATTAGGAACCTGGCCATTCAGAGGGACTCTAATCTAATTGATAAGCAGTCAGCAAGCAGCCCTGGAGATTTCTAGCCCTGTTTTTCAATATGTGATCAGACATAAGGTGATAACATGGAAAAATCAGTGACCTTATTTTGACACGCCTTAAAGTGGCTTGGTCAGTATTCAGTAGTTCAAGATGTTTCATATATGTTCATTTTAATTGTGCAGAGCTTCCTGGGATACAAACTCCATGAGGCATTAATGGGTATTGAATGTGATCACTTATCAACTTCCTCGGTGATTCTCTTATCAATTTAACTTTCTAATCCTTCTAAATTTACATTTCTTTGCAGATGATTTTGACACAAAGCAGTAAACCCCAAGACATTCCCTTGCATTTCCTATAATAAATGTCGGAAAGGGGTGTGGCTTTGTGTTGGGTTTATGATAATAGTGACCACTGCAAAGGCAAAGCATACATTTCTGCCTGAACAATGTTTTAAATCTTTAATATTCATGTACTTGATTCTCAGATTTTCTGGAAATAAAGTCTATTCAAAGAAACTGGAAAACAGTTTTTACAAAAATAAATTATTTGCTTTTAAATAAATGACAGACCAAGTTAGAGTTTTTAACATATAGTTTTTGTAGGCAGTTAAAACTTTAAAGTAGCTGACCTTAGTATAATTATCAGAAACAATTGGACTCATGAGTAATACCACTAGAGATAATTGTTGTAATTCTCAGACTACCTCTTTAAAAGTTGTGACCAAGCTCTAATGTATTAGTAAATTCAATGTTACTTTGTTGGAAGGCACAACCTAAGATATTCAGATATAAAACCCATCTGAATGCACCCTGTGTATGCCAGTGACTTTCATCTGGGTTATTCTTTGCATTGTCCTTTTTATTTTTAATCATTTGAATTACATTTCAATCATGAGCCAAGGCTAGGTTTCCAAAAGTTCTATGCCACATCCTCTCCTGTGGTTATGCAGTTGCCAGGCAACTAAACTCTGCTTGAGGGCAGAAAGGAACAGAGAAGGTTCATGGCGACGTCTCCCACTCCTGCTGAGTTCATCAGAACAGCAGCAGGGGACCCTGTATCTTCCTTCTTCTCGAAATTATAAGCCAGGTGCTTCCACGTGTCTTCATGTAAAAAACAATGTGCCTTAGAACATGTATGGTAACTAAAAAACCCTCGAGGGTCCCGATGGTGTCCCCTGGATGAAGAGACAACTTTAGGTTTGTGACAAGTCTAATGCGAAGTTTGTCCTTCAGATTAATTATACTCATATGTTGCCATTTTGTGACTGATAGCATGTTAAAGGAAGCATACAAAATCATCGCCTGAAAATACGCACAGTGTTTAATGGAACTGGTCTCACATACCATTATGCAATTTATTTTATAGTCAGCAACACGCCATGAAAATTTTCCATGTTAGATGGAGATAAATGGATAGGTAACTTTAACAACAAATGACTTACTAGTTTTTCAATATATGAATTTGTCACAGTTCATCCGAAAACTTGCCATTTTCCAAGATGATTATAATGATCATATGTAGTTTTTATGGTTTTTTTGCATTTATCAATTACCAAAGTTCTTGTTCTGTATTTGCAATGTCTGCGGGTAATGATTATTTTGGCTTTTCTCCAATAGGCACACTTCCCTTCTTTTCTTATTGATTACTAATGTTGGCATGCCCATCTTTGTTCCTGATTTTAATAAACATGACTTTAGTATATTACTTTTAAAATAATTTTTGCATTTAATTTCTGATAAAATATCTTCATCATGCTTAACAAGTTTCTTTTGATGTTTTCTTTATTTAGAATTTTTAATCCAAGAGCTTTTCTATTCCTATAATAATGATCATATTTATTCTTCTTTTCCCCTCTATTATATAAGTAGTCTCTTGTATCTTATTAGTTAAGAATACATTTGACTTTAGTAGCAGAAACCTGGGTAACAGTAGCTTAAGAAAAAAGGGTTTATTTTTGTCATATGTACCATTTCTGCAATGAAAGGATCTGCATACACACACACGCACACATGCACACTCACATGCACACGCATAGGCACACCCATGCACACATGCAAACACACACATGCACCCACACATGCACACACACATACCATAGCCATACTTTACCTGATGGATAAAAACTTATTCCAATTTGCCAAATAGGAACTTGAGACCCTTTCTAGACTTGAAATAATTTCTCAGAATGACAGTTTGACCTAATTGACTGCTTCATGTTTTACTTCTAATTCATCGCTCACAGATCTGCCAGCATGACCTTTTTCACAGGCTCATTAAAAATGGTGCTTCCTTACTTAAGACCCTCAAATAGCTCTCTCTCACCCTCAGGGCAGAACTCACTTTTCTGGACATGGTGGGCAGGGTCCTTCACTGTCTTGACTAACTGTATCTCCCACCACTTTATTTATTTTTATATATCTTTATTGATTTCAGACAGAGGAAGAGAGAGAGAAAGAGAGAGATAGAAACTTCAGTGATGAGAGAGTCATTGATCCCCTGACTCTTGCATGCCCCCAACTGGGGATCCAGCCCGCAACCTGGGCATGTGCCCTAACTGGGAATCAAACAATGATCTTCTGGATCCTAGGCCGATGCTCAACCGCTGAGCCACACCAAGCTGGACTCCCCCACCACTTTCTAGATGAAACCAAGCTGCTGGCATTCACCAGCTACCAGCCTCAAAGCCTGGCATAGGAGAAGCTGCGTCAGCATGATCTGAGTGAATGAGCGGGTGAGGGAAAGACCCACCAACTCGCTGGTCCATGTTGTAATGTCTCCATTACAATCACAGGGGCCAGCAAGGGTCTTCTGACAGGTCTTTTTCAATCTCAAGTGATAAACAACCACGGCTTAGCTCTCTTTTAATTTGAATTGTTGCAGCTTTTAGATGAATTGGATGAACATAGTCAAGCGATGGCAATGAAAAAGTCAATCCCTCATTCTATGCTAATTATTTATTTTTATTATTAACATTCCAAGCACTCATAAGGAGATATTGATCCTATTGCTTATTTACTGTCATAAACAATAGCTCAATAACAACCATGCCAGCACAAAAATAGTTGTTTGGAGCACAGAGTGTCCAGAGTACAAAAGGATAACACTAAATCCTTTCATCCAACACGCAGATTTGTTCTGTTGTGAAGGGGGCACACTTAGTTGCTAATTGATTCTACTACTTAAAATCCTTAGAAACCATCTTTTTTTTACTAAGTTTTTATGGCTTATTTCTAAATTTTGTATTAAAAAGACTCGTTGTGATAAAATCCTATTTGCCTTGTTTTATGGCTTGAGGTGTGGGATATTAGTACAGAAACTTGAACATATGTAGGTCTGTGTTTTAAAGAAAAGTTTGATCCCAACTGTTACCTTCATTGTGGAGAGAGATAGTTGCCTTCCTTCCGAATACCAATGATGGTTGAGTTTATTGTGATAAAATATGATCTTGCCCTGGCCGATGTGGCTCAGTTCCTTGGGAATCATAATGTGCACCGAGGAGTTGCCAGAGGGATTCTCATCAGGGCACATGCCGGGGTTGGGGGCTTGATCCCAGGCAGAGGGCATGCAGGGGGCAGCCAATCAGGGTTCCTCTCTCACATTGAGGTTTCTCTCTCTCTTTCCTTCTCCATCCCTCTCTCACTAAAAATCAATAAGTACATCTTTTTAAAAAACGATCTTGTAATTTACACATTTGTTTTATGAATGTGGATCTTTAGTCAATAAAATCATATATTTCCATTCTGTACTCTTAACGTAATGTTATTTGAAGTGATTTATTTTCTTTAAAGGTTTCTTGCTAAATATGTGTCAGTTTTTGTGGCACTATATTCAGATTTTTAAATTGTGTTTGTAACTAAAGTCCTAAGTGACTAAATATAACCGTATGGCAAAAAAAATTGTGTCAACTCCCTGTGTATTTTTGTCTTGCTTTTTCTTGACTGTCTTTCAATTTCAATAAATAGCACCATTTTGGACTTTTCTATGATTTGGAGACACATGCTAATAAAATTTGAAAGGTGATTTAAATTATAATAATTTGACAATTATCAAAAGGAAGAAATTAGACAGGGAATTGAAGTGTTTAGAGAAATGTAAAGCTACTTTTTGTTTTATATTTCTCTTACATGGTAAGATGCTTATGGACAGGTATTATTTTTTCCAAATCTTATAGGGAGGAATGTTAGAATTCAGATTAACAACAAAGGAATAAAGGATAGAAATACTAAAACTGAATGCTAGAGAAATAAACATAAAAGTTAAGTAAAGAAAAAATGGGCAAACATTGGGAGCACTATTTTAAAATAATTAAAATAGGTGCTTTTTATTTAAGAAAAAAATGAGATTGACAGCTTTTTTTCTTACTATTTAGGAAAAACAGAAATCAAATAGACAGCTTTCCATGCATGAATTGAAAATATCCATGTACGCACTGGGTCTTTGTCAAATGATAGCTTGAGTGGGAAAATTTAGATAATGCTTATGTGCAAAAGCACAACTTGTTTTGTATTTGCTAGCATTCCTGATGAAAAAATAATATGCTTTATTTTTTATATTTTACATTAGTTTCAACTTTTAATTTTTCCATTATGAGCCATTGTAGTAGATGGATGTAATAGCTACTTCTGTGTTTCAAAATATCTTATTTTATTCAATTGCACTGTATTGGTAAGTGCCTATTCAGACATTGTTGAGATGCAAAGTTGAATACCTGCGTACCAAAAGTAAGCCTACGCTTTTTTGCTTTCTCTATAATGTCCATAAACCATGCGGAATATTTGTTTTATTTTAATTCTTCTTTTCTCCTAAGAGCGACCCACGTTTCTCAGGAGGCCAATCAACCAGGTGGTGCTGGAGGAAGAGTCTGTAGAATTCCGGTGTCAGGTCCAGGGCGATCCTCAGCCAGCCGTGCGGTGGAGAAAGGATGACACAGACCTGCCCCGGGGAAGGTGAGGCCATCACATGCTCGGCAAGTGTTAGGTGCTCATCGAATAACTAGAAAAGAAAAAGCAGCCCAACTGCACCACCGAACACGCTTCTGTCCTGCCGTATCATTTTCACATAGGTGATTTTTACACACACAAACCACATAGCTGCTGTTGGAGACACTGACGTCCTCCAGGCTTTTGATGTCGCTCTGTGATTGAATGTCCCCATGAGTGCCTGATTCTCCACTTTATGTGTCATCCCCGCAGAGCAAGGGTTGCTGAGGTGCTCGCTTCCTCGGGATCCCTTGTAGGTCTGCTCCATACTTGACTGCCCCTGGCAGCCGCCTCCCAGCCCCGGGGCAGCNTACTTGACTGCCCCTCGCAGCCGCCTCCCAGCTCCAGGGCAGGTGCCCTGCTGCAGGCGGCGCTGGGCTCTGCCTGCCCCTGCTGCCCACAGCGTCCCTGGCAAAGGCTGCTGCTGGCGGCCCCCTGTGAGGCCTGCAGCCGGGGACACCTGCTCAGCACGATCCTGAACAGGCAGCAAGCAGCTGACGTCACCATCCACATGGGGAAGCTCTCACTTAGGAACCTGTGTCACTTTCTCACTTGCCCAGTCTTCATGGAGAACTCCTCCTCCAACTCTTCTTTTTTTTTTTTTTTTTAAATATATTTTATTGATTTCAGAGAGAGGAAGGGAGAGGGAGAGAGAGATAGAAACACCAATGATGAGAGTTTCTATCATCACGCCCCTGGCTGGGAATCGAGCCCGCACCCCGGGCATGTGCCCTGACCGAGCATCTAACCACCAGCCCTGGATCCTAGGTCGATGCTCAACCCCTGAGCCACGCCGGCCGGGCTCTTTTCTATTTATTCTTATCACCAAACCCCAAAACTTAATTTCTCAACTCTCTAGGGTAAGTCAAAAAATGTTTGTCATCTTTTATAAAAATAATTTTAATTTTTTTTGGTCTAACTTTTGCCAAGATGTTGCCTTTTATGATCAGATAAATCATTCAAGTGTTGTTGTTTTCCTGTATAAAGACCAAGTCAAGCCGTAAGATTGGTGTGTCTTTCTATTACTCCCACCTTCTGAAACTACAGCCACCACATCTACTATAATCATAAAATCCACTTCCTGCTTTTTTTTTCTACTTTTTTCCTAAAATAAGAAATTAGTTTTCATTCAACTGCCTGAAATTAAACATGGTTTCGCAGAAGTCCTTTGCCCTTTATGAGCTTTCACGGGCACTGCTGTCAATAGTTTTCTGAATTTATATGTTCATTTCAGCATCTCAGGTTTATGTATCCCTAGGTCTATAAACGATACTTTCTAAAGTCACGTCCTCAACAACACTAGGTTCAAACTGACCAACATTTTAAGTAGTTAGTGAGAGGTTCTTTGCAAACTGTAGGAAAAAGACAACTGAAAATCTTAATTCAGTTAATTTTCCAGCCTAAAGAGTCGGGAAAGTTGCCTCTGTTTCTTTTGTCACTTTGCTGTCAGACATCTAGTGTTAAAGGACTGTTATCAGGAGAAGCCTGTGAATGTGGGGCTCCTAGGCCTTCTCAGTGGAGAAGCAGGATTAAAAAGTCAGGAGCATTTATGGAGTGGAGTTGTTGGAGCTCCTACTCTATGCATAACAAGTACTTTTCCTCAAATTTGAGAGCACTTAATGTATAATTTTAAAATGGTGTTGGAAGATTTAGGATTGAGAGATGAATTATATAACAAAATGTAGCCTAGTGTAAATACAGGCCAATTTTCAATTACTGGAAGTAAGTAGCCTTGTTTGAAATAACTAAACAAACAACAAAAAAGCCTTTCATTTTGGAATAATTTTGGATTTATACAAAAGTTACAAAGATGTTACAGATAATCCCCTTACATCCTATACCTCTTCTCCCCTATTGTTAATATTTTTCATCACTGTGAAACCCTCCTCATTCCTAACGAACAAATGCTAATATATAATATATATTTTTTACGTTATCTTCATTTCACCAGTTTTTTCATGAATGCCTTCCTTCCTTCCTTCCTTCCTTCCTTCCTTCCTTCCTTCCTTCCTTCCTTCCAGTCCAGGGTATTTTATTAGTTGGATTTCATAGAGTGTTGCATTTAGTCGGCATGTTTTCTCAGTCTCCCCTGGTCTGTGACAGGCTCTCAGTCTTTTCTTGTTTTTATGACCTTGGCTGTCTTAAGGGGTACTGACCAGGTATCTTGTAGAACATTCTCCAAACTTCGATTTGTCTAGTGTTTTCCCATGATGAGAATGGATTTGTGGGGTTTTAAGAAGAAAGCCACAGAGAATGTCATTTTCATCACTTGATATCGAGGGTTACATAATATCCACATGGTGATCAGACCATTTTTAATTCTTAAAAAATATCCAGTTGCCCGGCCGGGCATGGCTCAGTGGTTGAGCATGGACCTAGGATCCTGGAGATCGTGGTTCAATTCCTGGTCTGGGCACATGCCCGGGTTGAGGGCTCAGTTTCTGGTTGGGATGTGCAAGAGGCAGCCGATCAATGACTCTCTCATCATTGATGTTTCTCTCTCTCTCCTTCTCACTTCCTCTCTCTGAAATCAAAAAAGATATATTTTTTTTAAAAATCCAGTTGACAAAAGTTTCAAAACTAGAAAGGTGTAAGAATGTATTGCATTTTAATGGGTTGATGTCTTTGAATTAAGGTGAAGTAAAAGTTAAGCCCAGTTTGATTTGTTCCTAGATTGCTCTAAGTCAGCGATTTTCAACCCGGGTGCCGCAAGGATTTTTAAAACATGCACTACCTGACTATTTCAGGGCCACTGACCTCTTTTCCCTTAGATTGTCAAACAAAAAAATGACAAGAGCCAACACAACAGTATCTGTCCTGTGTGAATGTATCAAAATACACCTATTTTTTTGTTATATAGGCAAAAAATAATATATTTTTGGTGTGCTGCAGAATTTTTATAATTAGTTTTTGTGTCATGAGAGGAAAATGGTTGAAAATCACCGGCCTAGGTGTGAGGTCATAAACTTTGGTTGCTACAATATTTTCCAAATCTTTCCAAGTTCGTTTGCTATAAAGTTCAAATAATGCATCCAATCAACAACAGCATTAAAACTACATATCTAGAATGGGTGCTATATAGTTCTCTAAAGTTAAAGTTAAAACTTTAAGAAATCTTACCTCTGCTACTTCCTTTAAAATGTTTTTATAGGCTCAGCCCCTCCATTCTTATGTGACTGTTATAAGAGTACTACAGCGCTTTGTGTGACCAGCTAAATATTTTTAAAGTAATAAGCAAATGGAAATGCTGGGTAAGCTTTAAATGTGGGTTAGAAAGGCTTAAAACAAGGATCAGTGAAATACAGAAACTGAGGTCAGTATTTTTATCATGATAGATGGCATGTACTTTTTCTTGAATTCTGAACCTTTAAATGCTGTTTCAAAGACGCTTATTCATTCTTACATGTGGATGCATTAGCATAAGCTTCACTTATGCGTAATGAGGGGGAAGAACCTCTTTACTGCTGAGGAGTAACAGTAATGACTTTTAACCAACCAAAGCCTAAATGAGCAACATCGATTCTATTACATTGTTTAGGGCTCAGCCTAGGGAGACAGCCATTGTCCTTGGGTAAGCAATTGTGGGGGCCGGGTGGAGGCTGACACTTCTTTGGCGTAGCAGTGAAGGCGGTTTCAATAAGGTTTGTGTGGTGGTTCACGCTTAACACATTGATAGTAAAGCTTCTCAGGGCAGCTGTGTAGCCTATAATTACCCTGTAAGTAATATGTGACTATTTTTCTTTTGGAGACAAGAAAAGCCTTTCCATTCAAGTTTAAATGTAGGAAATGCTGCGATCGCTATTTAAACCTTCAACACAGAAGTTATCTGTGCCAACCTTTCAGTAACCAGAGACGAATTAAAGGAGTATTTTTTTTTTCTTTTCCATGAAAATATTTTTTTAAGTAGTACCCATGTGCCTCTTTCTTTGATTTAACCTTAAGCTCTTAACCTTTCTCAGTGACTGTCTTTAATGAAATTGCGACACACCTTTGGTGAGTAGTATGAAAGACATTTTTTGATTAGATGAATGTTTCAGTGAAGTGGGAAATGTATTAGTTTCCGAGACTAACAATAACCTTGATGACCAACCAGGAAAATTTATTATTTATTTGGGTATTTTCCATGTTTGCATTTACTTACATGCATTACTATTTGTAATGCTTATTAGTAGTGTGTCAACAAAAAGTAATTTTAAACAAAGTAAATGTGCTGTTAACAATTCTCTATTTTTTATTATATGTTCACCAGGTTGGGTGATGTAGGAAAATACTTACATACTGAATGCATTAAAGAGAGTCAAATTGAAGTAGTCCTAGTTTTCTTGGGTACCACATCTTTTTTTCTCAAGCAAACCCAGAGTTTTTTGCTAATTAACATTCATGATGATCAAGTGCCTTCAACACATCTTTTCATAAACTGTTTCATTTAATAGAAGTTTCCAGTATTTATAACAACTGGCTGAAAGTACCATCTTATGCCATGTCCCATGACAACATAGAGATCTTATATATTATTGCTATACCAAATAAAAAATACATATATATACATATACATATGCTGAATCTCTATGAAAAATATATTACTATAAAGGAAATGGATTGTAATAAATTTACAACCAAATGAATACAAATAAAATTGAAATATAACAACACTACAATATTATTTTCAATCTCATATTAAGGAGAATAAAATTATCCCTTTCCAGAATTTAGATAAAAAGCAGTGTGATTAATCTAATTCCAGTTCCTTATCTGAGTTTGTCAGTACACTTTGTATTTTAGTCAATTATTAGCAGTCTTTTAAAAGTCTGTAAACCAGAGATTTAACATACTTCATTAATCATGTAATTTTCAGTATATCACGATTAGTTAGCTCCATGGTATTTCTTATTTCATTTTTATTTAATTTCTAAGCTAACTCTAAAGTGATACTAACTTCTTTAATAAGGATCTCGAGTACAGAAAGG